CTTCAAGTCCTCCTCACTTTTTTAGCAAGCAGGTTTGTATCACCTGCATAACACAGATTATTGATGAGTCTCCTTCTGATCCTGATGCCACACTCCTCTTCATAGAATCCAGCTTCTTGAATAATTTTCTCAGCATACAGATAGAATAGGTATGGAGAGAGAATACAATGCTGATACCTCCCTTCTCAGTTTCATACCATGCAGTGTTCTCCTGTTCTGTTTACACAACAGCCAGGTATAGGTTCTGCATGAGTATAATGAAATGCTCTGGGATTTCCATTCTTCTCAGGCTTAGCCATACTTGTTATGATCCACACAGTCAAATGGCTTTGCATAGTCAATAAATTGACATTCTTCAGGCATTCTTTACTTTCAGCCAGGATCCATCTGACATCAGCAGTGAGATCCCTGCTTTCACAGCCTCTTCTGAATCCTGCTTGAACTTCTGACAATTCCTGATCTATGTACTGTTCTAGCCATTTTTGAATGATCTTCAGCAGTATTTTGCTTGCATGTGATATTAACAACACTGTTTGATAGTTTCCACATTCAGTTGGATCACCTTTCTTGGAATGGGAACATATATGCACCTTTTCCCATCCATTGGCCAGACAGCTATCCTCCAAATTTGCTGGCATAGACTGGTGAGCACATGCAAGGCTGTATTCAGAGCAATATAAGGAAGACTATTAAAGGCTAATGTGTGAGAGAATATACTTCTTAGTGTTACACTTCTAATATTTTGAGATCACTGATAGCTGAGAAGAGTGGACAAGTGCTAACAGTACTGCAGCGAGACCTCAAAGAAGGTAATTGTTGTTGTGTAGGTGCTTTTGAGTTGGGCCTTACTCATAATGAACCCAAGTACAACAGAACCAACCTCTGCCCAGTCCTGTGCCATCCTCTCATCTTTTCTATGCTTGAGCCCATTGTTGAAGACATTGTGTCAATTCAGTCTTTTTTACTGAAGATCTTTTTCACTGACTTTCTATTTTAACAAGCACTTATTCCTTTTTCCCTTCTAAGAGTATGTGAGATGAAGTTTCACTACGTTTACTTCTAAGGAGCAGTTTGGTTATACTTATCTTGAGGTAATTTTATTGGATGTTCAAATGTAAGTTTTCTGTAAGTAGAGGCAACCTTGACGTTTAAGATCAGAAGGAAGTAAGTTTGGGATTTTAGAAGTACTTTGATATTATGACGTGTATTATAAACATCTGTTTAAAATGCTGTTTTAAAAGACAGATTGCTAATGATAATACGAACTAGAATTAAGTATGGCTGGAGAAAAAGTCGGGAACAAAGAGGATGATTCAGTAGTTGGAAAACATGGACTCGGTGACAGAAATGGAGCTGGA